GCCGAGCAAACACATTGAATCACAGCAAGTCCCAATCCGAAAATGTCAGGCAACGTACCAAAAACAGGTCTATTTGGAGACGCACGGGGGCGGACGCACAGAAGTACAAATGGGGTCAGGCGACCCCATGAAAGCCTGAAAAAATGTCTGTGGAGGTCTAAGGCGACCCCATGGATCTCTGGTGTGCCACCCTATGGCGCACACCACCTAAATGCCGCAGAAGCCTTGCGTTGCAGCTGCCTTGTTCTACAGCACCTCCATGCCATAAATTACTCCCTTTGTTCTTGGCTGCTTCTGCTCGAAGAGCTTTTGGCAGCAACACGAGGTGGAAAACCAACCACTAGCGAAAAAGATGATATCCCCTAATTGAATACGCAGCTTTTTGGCGTTGGACTCCTTATCGTTTCACTAATGGCCGTTGCCTTTTTTCCTTTTTTTATTATTTTTTTCTATAACACACTTTTATTTATTTATCAAGGTTTTGTTTCAAGATGGGCCGGCTATTTTTGGTTTCAAGTCTAATAATAAAACGATTTTTAACCCATATCCAAATGTAATGTAACATATCATAAACCCCCCCAAAAAAAAGTAATGTAACATAAGACTATCAGTTTTAACTATGAATAACTAAAAAATCCTATTAGGATACATTAACTTCGGAATTTGGAGATCATAAATCCCAACTTTAAATTCTATCTAAAATTCGAAGAGAGATTGAGTTTTTAAAAAGATAACTTTACAAATAATATGGTTAAATTCTGTGTTTTAAATCCGTCATCCAAACAAGAAACTTTACAAATTCTAGAACATTAATTTTTATCATTTTAAATTCCGTCATTTATGAAATCCTTTGTATTTTTAAATTTCCTCATCCGCACTATAAATATATTGTATACCTCTTATTCTTGTTATAACTTTTAAATTTCCTCATCCGAACACAAAGTATTATCATACTTCCTATTTTGCATTCGTAATCGATACGTATACAGAACTCATGAAACGTATTGCCTACTGTCATAAGCTTTAGCGTCCTGAATATATAAACAGTGTGGCCCTAGTTCCCTTTTAATTTCAAAACCACCAAACAGGTGAAGAAAAAGAGAGGCACAGGGGACAGTTTCATTGGATTACTCTCACGATGATGGAGGAAATAATACTGCACTGCCGAGCAAACACATTGAATCATGGCAAGTCCAAATCCGAAAATGTCAGGCAACGCACCAAAAACTGTGCTATTCGGAGATGCATTTCTGTCCTTTATACCATTATAAATGAGCTCCCAGATGCAAGTAAGCACAGCGGCAATGGCCAACAGCAAACTGATCAGTGCATAACAAGGCTTACTTGTGGAGGAAACCTGATCGAAACCGGCTGACAACATTTCTAGGTTGAAACCAACGAGCATAAAGGTCAACTCTAAGGCAGTTACCTACATAGAAGTTATGATCACTTCAGTTTGAAATTAAAATGGGTGCCAAATAAACTTCACAAGAGATATTAACAAAATGCTATAGTTTAATATGAGTATAAGTTTTGAGCATCACCCTTGTCCTGTGACGTGGCTGGCCAAAATCATTACGTTCATCCTGCAAACCGATGTTAATTGCTAGAGACTCACTAGGATTTGAACCAGAAGGGCCCTGCCATTATGAACTGTAAGAGCCTTACAACTATTTATAAGTTAAATTAAAATCATAAAACTGCTTATCACAAGAAATAGTGAAAAGAGGGAGTTGATTATGGTCATGAGTTTTTACCACTTCACTTGCCAGATTGCCCCGTTCATCATAGTTGGTGCTAATGCGCGGACTAGTGCTTGGTAAAAGCGAGTCACTGAGGTTGGAGTCATCAGATCCCTGAGCAAATAAGTTCAACTGGAACTATAAAAGTGTTGCAAGATAATGTCAAAGTTAAAAGTTTGGTTTAGTTATTGTTATGGCCTTTGACCATTATCCTTACCGCACTGTCTAGCACATCATCGTCAGTATCAGCATGGGTACTAAAGCAAGGTAAAGGAGACACACTCGGATCGGAATCCACAGAGCCCTGAAACTGAAAATAAGTTCAAGTTTTTGCAAGAATGTATGAGAAATAAAATGGTTTAATTAAGGTTATGAGTCTTTACCACTATCCTTGTTACATTACCCAGCTCGTCTTGGTCAGTGTCAGCAGCATCGGGACTAACGCTCAGAAAAAGCGACTCGGTGGGGTTGGAATCATCAGATCCCTGAAATTATAAAAATGGTTCAATGAAGTATAAAAATATGAAACAAAAATGATTTTATCATGATTATGAGGTTTTAACATTACTGTAGTCTGGTATTGTTGCTTGTAATGGTTGCTGTTGTCATCATGGGAACCGTTGCTAAGCAAAGGCAACCTGCTGAGGTTCTCCTCAATGTTCAAACTATTTAATCCTGCACAACCAAACTAAACAATGAATAAAAATCATGTATACAAATAACTCAATAAAGAGAGAGAGAGAGAGAGAGAGAGAGAGAAAAAAAAAACCACACTTCTGCTTATCTTGATTTCAAGGAAACTCACCTTTGATCATAAATTCAATTGCGGCTTTTGAGAAA